GGGGGGGGGGGGGTTATGCCCTAGGTAATCGAAAAAGATTTTGACCAATTAAATCTTTAGAGATTATCCACCCACCCCCCCCCCTTAGAAAAACACTGCAGTTGACTGAAAATGCCGCCCCTGAATATATAATATTATAATCAACCACATTTTAAAATACATTTATTTAAAAAGGAAAAATAAGATGGTGCCTCCTAAAAACAAATAGTATCTATTTCTTCCCAGTGGCGTAGCTGGGATTGATGTCCCCCGGTGCGGTTAACTCATGGTGTGTCACCACCCCCCCCCCCTACCCACTCCTCTGGCCTTCCACGACGGATTTCTTCTTTTACATTAAGTCCACCGTATAAAAATGACAAGAACAAAAACAAAATAATTGAAGGTCAGGAGGTGTAAGCATTTAAGAACTGTAACATGTACTTAGAATCGCCCATTGGTATAAATGGAAAGCTTTATTTCTCAGAATTTATAGATAAATAAAGCTACCTGCTACTTACGAAAGTTAACGAACACTTCAATGGGCAGTGAATCATGGCCAAAACGGTGTTTTTCTGAACTAATTATAGGGTCACCTCATTTCTGACACATCAACCTAGAACTTTTAATAAAGCACGCATATGGATATGTTACATGTGTGGAAAATTTACGCGTGATTGGTTATCCATTTATGAAACACGGTTAGACCCAGCAGTGTGTGTTCTGGATCTACGCCATTTTTTTAATCTAGTGTCACCCCCAATGAGATAGTGTCACCCCCACTGAGATAGTGTCACCCCCACTGAGATAGTGTCACCCCACTGAGATAGTGCCACCCCCACTGAGATAGTGTCACCCCCACTGAGATAGTGTCACCCCCACTGAGATAGTGTCACCCCCACTGAGATAGTGTCACCCCCCACTGAGATAGTGTCACCCGGTGCGGTCCGCACTCCACACCCCCCTGGCTACGCCACAGTTCCTTCCCATGTTTCTACAACACTCAGTTATATACAGCACATAATAATATTGTGTATGTAGTGAAAACAAATTGACACAGGGAAGAGGAAAGACTTGAAAAAGGACAATAATTTTTTTTAAATATATTAAAAAATTTTTAAATAAAAGTTTCCAAGACGATTTTAAGCGTACTAAAAAGTAAAAAAAAAAAATAATTGTCTTCAAATTAATTTCGCAAAGGTCTTTTAACTGGCTATATGCCTATATAGAAAGAAATACATAATAATACCTGTTATTTTTCATGTATTGATGAAATGAGGGGGTGGCATAGGCGTATGAAGGGGTGTGGAGAGGGCGGTTTACCACCAGGGGACACTTATTCTTCGAATGGAGGGGCGGCATTTTAGCTTATCACAGCAGAGTTTTTTCGTTTAAAAGGGGTGGGGAAAATCCCTGTCCTGCCACGGGTGATCCTAATTCTAGCTTAGCCACTTTTAAAAAAGTGGGAGGGGGGAACATTTTCATTTTCAGGTGCAGTTAGTCCTCGGTACGACTCTGTGTTCTTCATTTCATTCTTTTTTAAGAAAATGAAATGAGTAGAGAGTGGGACTGCTATAATATATTAGAGTGGAATGCGATAATGTAGTAATCATAATATAAATTAAGCACTTTTATAGCGCGTGTCCCATGCTACTTTAGCATGCTCAAAGCGCTCTGATGTCCTAAAATCAATTTTTAAACAAAACAGTCTTTAAATGGTTCTTAAATGACTTTTTATCATTTTCAATTTTGCGCAAATATTGAGGCTAACTGTTCCACAATTTAGGCGCAATAGCTTCAAAAGAGCGCATCCCGTATGACTTCTTTCTGTGTCCATCCACACAGGTAACTCTTTGTAAGGACTCTGTGGAACAGCGCAGGTTCTGTATGGATACTTTTTTAGAAATCAGTTTTTGAACATATACAGGTGCAGAGCCTTCTATACGCTATACGCCAAGGACAGAATTTTGTGGTCAATGCGCGCACTCTCAGGAAGCCAATGGAGATCTTTAAGAACTGGGGTGATGTGATCAGATTTCTTTATACGCGCTACAATGCATGCTGCAGTATTTTGTAACTTCTGTAGTCTCTGAATTTGGTTTTGAGGTAAACCCCACCAACAATTGTTACAGTAATCTAAACTTGATTAGTAGAGAGTAAGACTATGCTTAAAAAGCTTGCGCAGACTTAAGGACACAAAGTAACACCCTACTTGTCTATGTATTGATATATATATATATAATTTTGGGGAATAAATCATTTTCATTCAATCTCTGCCCCGGCCTCATCTTTTGATGCTACTGTCCTCCTCATATCTATAGATTTATAATTAGCTCTGATCAACAAAGACCTGTAGACTCTTTTTTTTGGGGGGCACCATTATTTGGAATCGACCAGTTGTGTAGCTAGTAGTAGTACGTCATTGAAGAGCATAACACTAACTATAGGCTGACGTCATGCAAGATACAAAGCGGCGACATGCGGAAACTCGTCGTGTTACACCAGTGGCGTAGCGAGGCAGTTGCGGGGGGTGCGGACCGCACCGGGTGACACCATTTTAGGGGTGACACCCGATTGAAAAATTGCATATTTACAGGGCACACATTGCTCGCAAAAATCGAGATTCATAAAAGAATAACCGATCACACATATAGTTTTCACAAATTTAACCAATCCAAATGCGTGCTTTATTAAAAGTTCAAGGTTGATGCTATACTGTGGACTTATTTTAACAAGAAAAAATCGA